ACACAAAAGAAGGTCACCACCAAAGATACCTTACAAGCAGAACTTATTGCAGAAGGAGGAAAGAATCGAGGCAACTACAGAAGCACTATACTGTCCCCCGAGCTTAAAGCGGCAGCTAAAAGCCTTCGTGAGAACAAGGAGATAGTTGTCAGGAGAGGTGACAAGTCGCCAATATATGTCATTCTTAAAAAAGACGAATATCTGGCGAAAATGAACATCATACTCTCTGACCAAACTAAGTTCCAAAGGGTAACGAAGGACACTACAGCCGAATTAAAAGCAAAGGTCAACAAACTGATCGAAACTGTGAACGCCAAGAAATCCGGACTCCACCTGCCAAAGATCATTGGGGAATATAAACCTGGATATGCGTATGGAAATGTCAAGACGCACAAGCCTGGAAACCCACTTCGGCCAATCATTAGCCAGACACCCACACCCACGTACAGACTGGCGAAGCGACTCAACGGCCTGCTGACTCCTTATGTTCCTTGCGCCTTCAGCCTGAAGTCTCCAAAGGAATTTGTGGACTTACTGCGGGGCACACGGGCCACAGGGATAAGAGCCTCGTTGGACGTAGAATCGCTGTTTACCAACGTACCTGTGGACGAGACAATCGGAATGATAGCCGACAGAGTGTATCGTGATCCAGCCTGTACTCCTCTTGACATGCCAGAAAGTATTCTGAGGAAACTACTCCAAGCTTGTACTAAAGAGGCACCCTTCTTGAGCCCGGATGGGCACATGTATAAGCAAGTAGATGGGGTCGCCATGGGTTCTCCCCTAGGTGTCCTGTTTGCAAACTTCTACATGGGTACCGTCGAGCAAAAAGTCTTAGTCGACATGAACTTGAAACCGGCCATATACTGCAGGTATGTTGACGACATTTTTACACAGGTACCTGATGTCAGACATCTGCAGGAGCTGAAGGAGGCATTTGAGCAGAGTTCCGTGCTGCGTTTCACTTACGAGACGGAAAAGGATGGGAAGCTGCCTTTTCTAGATGTAACAGTCATGGAAAAGGGCGGAGGTTTCCACACTGCAGTCTACACTAAGGAAACAAACATAGGAATGTGCCTAAATGCCAACAGCGACTGCCCCGACAGGTACAAGAGGAGTGTTGTTAACGCATACGTCGACCGTGCTCTCAGCCACAGCTCAGAATGGAAGCAAGTCGACGAAGAACTCTGTAGGGTAAGGCAGGTTCTAGTCAATAACGGCTTCTCCAATGGTTTCATCGAAGACATCATAAGAAGGAAAGTGAAAAGCCATGCAACCTCTGAAGAGACAACTAACACAACACCTATACCCCCTATTAGACTATTTTACAGGAACTTCTTTTCCACAGCTCATAAAACAGAGGAAAGGGTCCTGAAAGATATTGTTAATAGAAACGTTATCCCTACAGACAAAAATCAGAGGATACAACTGACGATTTACTATAAAACCAGAAAAACGGCCAGCCTACTCATGAGAAACTCTCCAGACACAAAACAGAACGCTTTAAAAGAGACTAACGTCGTCTATGCCTTCAAATGCCCACTTGGGGACTGTAAGCTCCAAAAAACCCAGTATATAGGCAAGACAACAACATCTCTTTCTAGGCGTTTAACGATGCATAAGCAACAGGGCTCCATTAAGGAACATATAATCTCTTCCCATAACCAAACCATCGCCAGAGAAATCCTAGTAAACAACACAGAAATCATCGATAGATACAGCGATAGCAGGCGGCTTGACGTTTGCGAGGCACTACACATCAAGAAGTCAACACCAGCAATCAACAGCCAATTATTGCACAACTATATTCTACCCACCTCAAGACTCCGCTCCAATATAGAAGCATCAAGAAATATGGACCAATAGGCTTTCTACAACACTTCTATTCAATACCCATTGTTTTCTGTTCTGTCTTGTGTTGATACTTTTAATACCCTATTAATATCCCCTGTTCTGTCTTGTGTTAATGCCACATCATCCTTCCCACCTCACTCAAATGTAGATATAATATCAGAGAGACGTAAGTTCTAATCAGTTGTGTATTTGTGAAGTCTTTGAAAATGTAATAAGTTTTACGAAACGCGCCCGTGTCGCGTCAGACTAGAAATAAAAATGAATTTTGGAGAAGTGATTTTTGATTTACCTCCAACAGTGAAGCGTAATGTACGAAAGATTGAGAAAATTCGTGTTAGAATTATTAATCTTACTTTTTCGGTCATATTTAATAATATATGTCTACAGGAAAGACTGCTACCAAAATATACTAATATATATATATATATATATATATATATATATGTCGTACCTAGTAGCCAGAACTCACTTCTCAGCCTACTATTCAAGGCCCAATTTGCCTAATAAGCCAAGTTTTCTTGAATTAATATATTTACTATAATTTTTTTCTTATGAAATGATAAAGCAACCCTTTTCTCTATGTATGAGGTAATTTTTTTTTATTGCAGTTAAAATTAACGTAGATATATGACAGAACCTAACCAACCCTACCTAACCTAACCTAACCTATATTTATAGGTAAGGTTAGGTTAGGTAGCCAAAAAAAACTAGGTTAGGTTAGGTTAGGTAGGTTAGGTAGACCAAAAAACATTAATTCATGAAAACTTGGCTTATTAGGCAAATCGGGCCTTGAATAGTAGGCTGAGAAGTGCGTTCTGGCTATTAGGTACGACATATATATATATATATATATATATATATATATATATATATATATATATATATATATATATATATATATATATATATATATATATATATAGAAGCATCAAGAAATATGGACCAATAGGCTTTCAACAATCACTTCTATTCAATACCCATTGTTTCATGTTCTGGCTTGTGTTGATGAAATTAATACCTTATTAAATACCACCTCACCCCATCCACCTCACTCAAATGTAGATATAAACAAAATCGGAGATGTGTAAGTTCTATTAGTTCTATTCAGTTGTGTATGTGTTAACTAAAGTCTTTGAAAATGTAATAAGTTTTACGAAACGCGCTCAAGTGTCGCGTCAGACTAGAAATAAAAATGAATTTTGGAGAATTGATTTTTGAATTACCACCAACAGTGAAAAGAAATGTACGAAAGATTGAGAAAATTCGCGTTAGAATTATTAATCTTACTTTTTCGGTCATATTTAATAATATATGTCTACAGGAAAGACTGCTACCAAAATATACTAATATATATATATATATATATATATATATATATATATATATATATATATATATATATATATATATATATATATATATATATATATATGTCGTACCTAGAAGCCAGAACTCACTTCTCAGCCTACTATGCAAGGCCCGATTTGCCTAATAAGCCAAGTTTTCATGAATTAATTGTTTTTCGACTACCTAACCTACCTAACCTAACCTAACTTTCTCGGCTACCTAACCTAACCTAACCGATAATGATAGGTTAGGTTAGGTTAGGTAGGGTTGGTTAGGTTCGGTCATATATCTACGTTAATTTTGACTACAATAAAAAAAAATTGACCTCAAACATAATGAAATGGGTAGCTTTATCATTTCATAAGAAAAAAATTAGAGAAAATATATTAATTCAGGAAAACATGGCTTATTAGGCAAATCGGGCCATGCATAGTAGGCTGAGAAGTGCGTTCTGGCTATTAGGTACGACATATATATATACATATATATATATATATATATATATATATATATATATATATATATATATATATATATATATATATATATATATATATATATATATATATATGTATATATATATAGCCTCGAACCCGGGATTACTAAGGTTAAAGTCCGACGTCCGCACTGTGCGCACCCTCCCAGGAAGGATCCCAGGGCCACAGGTGGTATTCATCTGGGACTTTAAGCCTTCTTGAGATGATTTCGGGGCTTGGCGTCCCCGCGGCCCGGTCCTCGGCCAGGCCTCCTTTTTGATACACACCCCCAGGAAGCAGCCCGTAGCAGCTTTCTAACTTCCAGTTAGTTTCCACCTATTTACTGCTAGGTAACAGAGGCATCAGGGAGAAAGAAGCTCTGTCCATTTGTTTTCCGCCTCCACCGAGGATCGAACCCGGAATCTCAGGACTACGAATCCAAAGCGCTGTCCACTCAGCTGTCAGGCCCCTGTCAGGCCTGCCCTATGGCGCCACTAAGTATGGAGGCGTTTAAGTGATCCTCCTCCAGTAAGTGATCCACCTCCAGTAAGTGATCCACCTCCAGTAAGTGATCCACCTCCCAGTAAGTGATCCACCTCCCAGTAAGTGATCCACCTCCAGTAAGTGATCCACCTCCAGTAAGTGATCCACCTCCAGTAAGTGATCCACCTCCAGTAAGTGATCCACCTCCAGTAAGTGATCACCTCCAGTAAGTGATCACCTCCAGTAAGTGATCCACCTCCCAGTAAGTGATCACCTCCAGTAAGTGATCACCTCCAGTAAGTGATCACCTCCCAGTAAGTGATCCACCTCCAGTAAGTGATCACCTCCAGTAAGTGATCCACCTCCCAGTAAGTGATCACCTCCAGTAAGTGATCACCTCCCAGTAAGTGATCCACCTCCAGTAAGTGATCCACCTCCAGTAAGTGATCCACCTCCAGTAAGTGATCCACCTCCCAGTAAGTGATCCACCTCCAGTAAGTGATCACCTCCAGTAAGTGATCCACCTCCAGTAAGTGATCCACCTCCAGTAAGTGATCCACCTCCAGTAAGTGATCCACCTCCAGTAAGTGATCCACCTCCAGTAAGTGATCACCTCCAGTAAGTGATCCACCTCCCAGTAAGTGATCCACCTCCAGTAAGTGATCCACCTCCAGTAAGTGATCACCTCCAGTAAGTGATCCACCTCCAGTAAGTGATCACCTCCAGTAAGTGATCACCTCCCAGTAAGTGATCCACCTCCAGTAAGTGATCCACCTCCCAGTAAGTGATCCACCTCCAGTAAGTGATCACCTCCAGTAAGTGATCACCTCCAGTAAGTGATCACCTCCCAGTAAGTGATCCACCTCCAGTAAGTGATCCACCTCCAGTAAGTGATCCACCTCCAGTAAGTGATCCACCTCCAGTAAGTGATCCACCTCCAGTAAGTGATCCACCTCCAGTAAGTGATCCACCTCCAGTAAGTGATCCACCTCCAGTAAGTGATCCACCTCCAGTAAGTGATCCACCTCCAGTAAGTGATCCACCTCCAGTAAGTGATCCACCTCCAGTAAGTGATCCACCTCCCAGTCATATCAACTGCTAGCCACAATAACCTTGGATAATAAAATAATGAACTTGGACCATCAGAGCTTCGAACCCGGGACCACAAAAGTGGAAGCCGGTAGTCCTACCAACTGCATCATGGACACTTGCGCTCGCGCGATGCTAACTCATGACCTTATAACTCTGCCATATCACAAGGGGCGTCTATCTGTAGTAGGTTCTTTAATATCCCATTGTCAGGGGATAGACATTCCAATATCCATTGGTTCGTTAATATTCCATTGTCATATTCCTGTGTGAGTACCACGAAGGATTCATTAATAAGGAATATCTTTATCCCAGGTAACCTCGGGATTATATATATTGCATCTCGTTGTAAGAATTCCCACGGGAGACATGTCCCGTCACGCAGGGTGCAGTCGCGCCTCCACAGATCTCCTGTATCAGCGCTTGATACTGGTAATGGCTCAAAAGGGTCACCACTTACGGGCTATTCATGCCCCTGCCACCTCTTGGGTGACTTAATCTTTATCAGTCAATCGTAAGAATTGCAATAGAGTACACATTGGCTAATCAGACCAACCATTGTGTACAAGAATGAGTCGACATCACTATAAGTAAGAACAAGGCGTGACTCAACGGACTTATATAAATATATTTAAGAGACAATAATATATTTAATAATTCTGGCCTAATTCTGAAGAAATATATCTGACACCTTGTCAAATGGAAGGCTTAAATGTGGATACATACTTAGTCATATACTGACTATTAATTTCAACAATATCCTGTACAAAACGTAGTATAATAGATAATATGACATTTGGATAGCCAGGTTAAACCAGCCTAGACTTAGTTGATTTATTGATTAATTACTTCTCGGATTATCCTCGCATCCAACTCCTGTCACCTCAAATATTGTCTAAATATCACCCAGGGTGTTGCTGCCACAGTGTCCTCTACCATAGACGGGCGAGGGGAGGGACTCCACACCTTGCTCTACATCCTCTACACTCAAGGTATATTGCAGTGATGAAGGAAGTAGGAGTATAGACATACACTTATACTTGCAGCCATTGACGAACACGCTCAGCGGTGTTCCCACACCCACATTACCGCCCACACATTCACCGCTCAGCCCACCACCCACCACCCACCAACTTTCAGAACACACGCCCTCCTCTCCGCCCACCTCCCGAACACACGCCCTCCTCTCCGCCCACCTCCCGAACACACGCCCTCCTCTCCGCCCACCTCCCCAACACACGCCCTCCTCTCCGCCCACCTCCCCAACACACGCCCTCCTCTCCACCCACCTCCCAAACACACGCCCTCCTCTCCACCCACCTCCCAAACACACGCATATTTCCACGCCAACTTCCTCCCCGAACGCCACCCACGTCCCAGCAACACGCCCACACACACACCAATCTCCTCGCCCACACGCCCATCTCCCAGGCGACACGCCTTCTGGATGTACACACGGTATATCTGTGAATGAATACACAGTGTATCTGGGAATATATATATCCACAGTGTATCTGGGAAGGTATACATGGTATGTCTATGTATGTGGACACGGAGAAGCCACCACCAACCCACATCCCGCAGAGAGCGAGGCGGCGCCGGGGCCAGAAAAGCCGCCGTCGGCTGCACCTCGCTGCACTTCCCGCCAACGTCGCCCAACGCACACCGCGCGCCCTCCAGCCGTATACAGATATCAAAGAGCTAATCATAGCCTTGGGGGGAGATAGATATATTTATATATATAAAGAAAGTTTTGCTCTCAAGTGCCGTTTATTGAGTGTCAAGTGGAAAACTGTTTTGGTGTGAGTTTTTGGGGTCCACGGGATCTAAACTTCTGGGACTGCATGAGCCTTGATCCCACACCCGCGAAGAAAATTTGAAAATGTTATTCTTCCTGTAAACACATCGTGCGCTTACCGTGCACAAGATGATCACCGTGTCATACAAGTGAAGTTTCCGGGGCTCTATGTCTCTGACAGCTAGAGTGGAGCAGTAGACGACATCCTGTGAAAGAGCCCGGCTACAGCCCAAATAGAGCCCAACTACAGAGTTCATCTATCTTAAGAGATCTTTGTGGGAACCGACCCGACGGCCAAGGTAAGTTAGTCTAATGGATTATTACTAAACTCAAGACGGAGTGAGCTCAGAGCACCAACATTACCTTACTGATGATCCCGCGTGTTGGTGGAGGATATACAGAGAGACTGCCCAGACCAAACATACATTACAGATCTCCTGTGTCTAAAAATGCATACCCCTTACATGAAAGGTTACAGCGACACGTAATGGGCTCACGAAATGAATTTTGGAGTTCATTTTCTGAGCCCACTATGTGCCTTTGAAGCTTTTTCCACTGCCATCAACAATATGGGCATGGGGTACACTACCACTCACAGGACGGGTATGGGGGTTCACTACCACCCACAGGACGGGTATGGGGTATACTACCACCCACAGGATGGGTATGGGGTTCACTACAACCCACAGGATGGGTATGGGGTTCACTACAACCCACAGAATGGGTATGGGGTTCACTACAACCCACATAATGGGTATGGGGTTCACTACAACCCACATAATGGGTATGGGGTTCACTACAACCCACAGGACGGGTATGGAGTCCACTACCTTCCAGTGGAAGGCTTCACGCTGTGGGAGGCCGAATCGAAGTCCCCCCCCTTTGACCAACTGTTGTAGGAGGCATCCCACAACAGCTGGCTAAATCACGGGTACCAATTTAGTGTTAGGTGAACAGAGGCATCGGAAAGGAAACGTGCTCAACCGTCTCTGTCCTTCCGCGGGAATATAACCCGGGACCCTGGGATGTGAGGCGATAGGGTGGACCAATGTGCTAAAGACCCCGCTGAATACATTACTTCATGATGACGGTTGACCAGACCACACACTAGAAGGTGAAGGGACGACGACGTTTCGGTCCGTCCTGGACCATTCTCAAGTCAATTGTGAATTGAGAATGGTCCAGGACGGACCGAAACATCGTCGTCCCTTCACCTTCTAGTGTGTGGTCTGGTCAACATTACAATAATGATATTTATAGGGTTTTATGAGTGTATTCGAACACCTGGCCTCGCACTGTATTCGAACACCTGGCCTCGCACTGTATTCGAACACTAGACCTTCTTGAAAGATGCACACCTCACAGTGTATTCGAACACCTGGCCTCGTAAGAACATAAGTATGAAGGAAACTGCAGAAAGCCAGTTGGCCCATACGAAACAGCTGCTATTTATATCATATATATATAATTCATACATATATGTTTAGCCTACGTTTGAAACAATCCATTAATCCCTCATCTATTATGGTATTCGCTAATGAGTTCCATAAATCAACAACCGTACTTTCAAACAAGCATTTTCCCAGATTTTTCCTAAATCCGGGGAGGATTAAATTAGGATTAAATCCGGGCCGGGGAGGATTGACCGGGCGCCAATCCTTAACTGTACGCCTCTGTTCACCCAGCAGTGAATGGGTACCTGGTTGTTAAACGATTCGGCGGGATCGTATTCCGGGGAAATTAGGGTTAAGGACCTGCCCGAAACGTTACGCGTACTAGTGGCTTTACAAGAATGTAAACTCTTGTAAATCCAAACTTTTTAAATTGATATGCACTGTTTACATTTCTGTTTTGAACTAATTCCTGTGATTAACTTTGAAATCCTTCTCTGTGTGTGGCGTTAAGAGGACTTTGAATCCACACTACAGTAGAGGATACCCAGAAGAGCCCTGGATAGTCTTCACGTGGGTATGTGTACCCCAGAGCTGCCCAGCCGGCGGGGCACGGGACCCGCCTTTTCTTGTACTTGTACTCACCTAGTTGTGCTTGCGGGGGTTGAGCTCTGGCTGCTTGGTCCCCGCCTCTCAACTGTCAGTCAACTGGTGAACAGGTCCCTGAAAGTGGTGTACAGGTTCCTGAAAGTGGTGTACAGGTTCCTGAAAGTGGTGTACAGGTTCCTGAAAGTGGTGTACAGGTCCCTGAAAGTGGTGTACAGGTTCCTGAAAGTGGTGTACAGGTTCCTGAAAGTGGTGTACAGGGTCCTGAAAGTGGTGTACAGGTTCCTGAAAGTGGTGTACAGGTTCCTGAAAGTGGTGTACAGGTTCCTGAAAGTGGTGAACAGGTTCCTGAAAGTGGTGTACAGGTTCCTGAAAGTGGTGAACAGGTTCCTGAAAGTGGTGTACAGGTTCCTGAAAGTGGTGAACAGGTTCCTGAAAGTGGTGTACAGGTTCCTGAAAGTGGTGAACAGGTTCCTGAAAGTGGTGTACAGGTTCCTGAAAGTGGTGTACAGGTCCCTGAAAGTGGTGTACAGGTTCCTGAAAGTGGTGTACAGGTTCCTGAAAGTGGTGTACAGGTTCCTGACCTGAATCATCGAGAATTAGCCAAAGGCGAGAATACTGATTAGGCAATTTTTATAATTATGAAAATATGATGGGGGGGGGGGGCTGGTATTTTGGGTATCATAACAAGGCCGCGAGTCAGACAATGCTGGGAACCACTGCTCTATATATTTGTATTATAGCTACTTATCAATTTTGTAAACAGAGTAGTTGATTTATATCACAAATTACTGGGTATCATGATTGACATGGAATCACTGGATTGTTTCAAGTGCAGGTTAGACATAAATATAAATGAGTTCGGATGGATATAAATAGAAGCGGCCTCGTATGGGCCAATAGGCCTGCTGCAGTTCCCCATATTGTTATGAGCTAATGTTAAATCAATCATAACCCATGTTTTGTGTAAAGGAAAGTATTTAAGACAAACCCACAACATCCGCTTAACTCCGGGGTGGCCATTAACTGCTCGGGGTGAACAGAGGCAGCAGTGGTGGTTGGAGCAGGAGTACACATAACAGTACCAGTGATAACATGTCTGAAGGAGGCCACATATATATATATACCTTACCTCGGTTTTATTATTAGCAGTATTTATATTATTATGGGCGAAGTTTGTGTACTCATCTAGTTGTACTCATCTAGTTATGCTAACGGGGGTTGAACTGCGGGTCTTTGGTCCCGCCTCACAACTGTGATTCTACTTTGTGGCTCTTTTGGATACTCAGCTTCCACCTGTGGAAGCTGAGTACACTACCCGTGTTAATCCGTCCTTGTTTATCCTGTCAATTCCCCTGAGAATTTTGTATGTGGTGATCATGTCTCCCCGAGCTCTTCTGTTTTCCAGTGACGTGAGGTGCAATTCACACACCCTTTCCTCGTAATTCATGCCTCTTAGTTCTGGGACTAGTTTGGTGGCATGCATCTCAAATTCTCAAGCTTCGTCTTGTGCTTGACGAGATACGGACGCCATGCTGGGGCTGCATACTCCAGGATTGGTCTTACATATGTGGTATACAAGGTTCTGAATGATTTCTTACACAAGTTTCAAAAGGCAGTTATGATGCCTTGCATGCGCCACTGATGATATTCTTTTGATGTGGGCTTCAGGAGACAGGTTTAGCGTGATATTAACTCCTATATCTTTTTGTCCATTTCATGAAGGACGTCGTCTCCCATTAGGTATTATGTGTCTGGGCCTCCTATTTCCTTCACCTAGTTTCATTACCTTACATTTACTTGGGTTGAACTTTTGTAGCCATTTATTGGACCATTCCTTCAGTTTGTCTAGGTCATCTTGTAGCCTTATGCTATCTTCCCATGTCTTAATCGTCCTCATAATGTTTGCATTATCAGCAAACAATGTGAGGAACGAGTCTATTCCCTCTGGGAAATCATTTACATATATCAGAAACAGTATAGGTCCAAGAACTGATCCCTGTGGGACTTCACTGGTGACGCCACGCCATTCATCTCGAGACCTCACCCCTCACAGTGACTCGCTGTATTCTTTTGCTTAGGTACTCCCTTATCCAATAGAGTACATTCCCTCTCACTCCTGCCTGCATCTCCAGCTTGTGCACTAGTCTCCTATGAAGTACTGAGTCAAAGGCTTTCTGGCAATCCAAAAATATGCAGTCTGCCCACCCCTCTCTTGCCTGATTTTTGTTGCCTGATCATAAAATTTAATTAATCCTGTGAGGTAAGATTTGCCATCCCTGAACCCATACTGAAGATATGTTACAAAGTTCTTTCGCTTCAGATGTTCCACTAGTTTTTCGCACAATCTTCTCCATTACCTTACATAGTATGCAAGTTAGGGACACTGGCCTGTAGTTCAGCGCCTCCTGTCCATTACCATTCTTATACTTTGGGGCTACATTAGCCGTCTTCCAATTTTTGGCAGTTCCCCCTGTTACCAGTGATTTGTTGTACACCATGGATAGTGGCTCTTTCTTTTAGTATCCATGGGGTGATTCCATCTGGGTCTATAGCCTTTGCTACATCCAACTCCAGCAAATGCTTCCTCACCTCCCCACTGGTAATCACAAACTCCTCTTGTGGTGTCTGGTTAGATATTCCCTCTCTTATCTCTGGGACTTCTCCTT